CTGGATTCCCAGTGTGCTTTGTATCTCTTTCCCAGCTGCTTGATATGATGCAATCTCAATGTATCAAGACCACATATCCCATGATGCACTGCTTCCAGCAAGCAACGATAATGCTACGTTGCTCAGACATTGAGTTCAGAAGGCAGGCTCTGTGAATTGTAACACAAATAAGTGCATATTCCCAGGTAGGGTTGCCACCTGTCCGGTTTTCAACCGGACAGACCGGTTTTGGAATCTTGTTGGTTTTGGCATCTTGTGTCCGGTTTTCCGGCCACCGTAGCCCCGTACACGAGATGTCACAAGTTCAGGCAGACGGGGGCAGCCCCTGGGTCCTAGAGAGGAATGCGTGAAGGAGGACCTTCTGCTGTGCTGTGTGAGCACAATCCCGGCAGAGCGTGCGGCTGTCTGTGAGGCTAGAGGTACGTGTTTTAAGGGGTTAATCCGGGCCGGCTGTAGTGTGCGATCGTTATACAGACAGTGCCCGATAGTCTCTGAACTGTCACAGCGCTGTCTCCTGTCCCGTTGGAGCTGCGAGGGGGGGGGGGGGGGGGGGGTATGAGTGTCATTCTTAGGCTGATTTTAGCTCTTGCTGTGACAACCTGTAAATAATCGGGTGACCAGATTCCCTTTAAAGAGGTTTCTGCATAAATCATGGACACAGGAATCTGGTCACCTTATTCTTTACAGGTTCTGACAGCAATAGCTAAAATCAGCGTAAGAATTACTCACTATCTCCCCCCGCTGGTTTGTTAGTATTGCACATAAAACATGCCCCCATTAAAAAATGCCACCCACAGGTAACCCGTGACATGTTTTGTGGGGACGTCTTTTATGTGCTATAGTACATATCACCTAAAACAGATGTCCAGATTCCATGTTAGTGCAACATCCATTTTATTGATAGTTGTCATTCAATCGACAAGCGCTTTTGGGGCCGCGCCGGGTCCGCTTCATCAGGCTCAGAAATGCGCTCGTCGTTTGAATGACAACTATCAATAAAATGGATTTGTACTATAAATGTACCGATCCTAGTATCAGTGCCGATACCGATCCTAGTATCAGTGCCGATACCGAGTATTTGGGCGAGTACTCGTCCAAATGCTCCAATACCTTCCCCGATACCAGAACTTCCGGTCAGAGGGAGATCTCTCTCCGACCAGTAGTGCCAAGGGACCATGGAGCCGGCAGAGGCGTCCCGAGGTGGGGTGACACCCGGTGCGGATACCAGGTGACACCCTGCAGTGACGTCATTGCGCACATGCGTGATTAGGTCACGTGTGGTGTGGAGGGGACGTCACCTGGTGGGATAAGCTATGCGCCGGGTCCACTGCTCTCTCGAGCAAGTGTCGGGCTCTCGGTCCTTGACACATTTGCTTTGTATAGTACATATCTGGGGTCCTGTGGCACACTGGCATCTTTGTGATTACCTCCAATGTTATTTAATCACAAAATACATGCATAGTGTACTTTACCAAAAAATTGCCGCAAGGCGCTACAGTGTTCGGGTTTGGCTTGAAGAAAAGGTGGCAACCCTATTCCCAGGGCTGAGTGACATTGTGTCAGTACATTGAGGAGGTACATGCTATGGACATCTCCTAGAAATGAATATACAGACTTCTAGATTGATGTGGTTATTGGGAGTGAGATAGAACTTATGGAAATACATATTTAGATTTTGTTTTTGACCTAGATAACCTTTAACTATGTGCTGGCAGTCACCCGAATAGGCTAGAGCCACTCAATCCTGTTACTACGATCACTGGCGATTTTTATTTCAAGGTATAGCAAATGATTGTTGAACAAATGGTTCCCTGTGGAACAGGCTACACAAACTGAACCCGAGCTAAAACCACCAGTGTAGCCCTAGCCTAAATCTGTGCTCTGGAGACACTTCCTTGCTTGCTGACAGTGTAGCATCACATTGATTGGCTGCCAGCATGAGGTTAATTCTGCCAGAAGCAAACAGATTTAAAGGATAAGTTCACCTTTTGCAAACATTAAAGAAATGCATAATTGATAATATATAAAAAAATATGCATTTCTTTAATATTTGCATTCAAGCCTGGAAAGCATTGTGATTACTCGATCACAGCTGCAAGGCCCAGGCTGCTGCACATTCTCTCCCAGGCAGAGCTCATACTGAGGTACGCAGTTTCAGTTAGGAGAGATGGGGGAAGGACGTCTGGACTTCAAACTACATTAAATCGCCTCATATGGCGTCCAGCCGCCCTCGCTCTAGGTAGCCATATTCCCGCATCTACCTAGAGGGAGGATAGCTGGACGCCGTATGAAGTGATTTACTGGTTTAGCCCTTTCCTTTCTCTACTCTGCCCAAAACAAAAACAAGATTTGGGTAATATATCCACTGAGGGTCTATTCACACTATGGGCTACATTTATAGGAACCGGGTGGATGCCGTTTACATGGCACTAGCACCCCTAGATGTTTTGGAATTTCCTATACTCATTAGAGCAGGGGTGGGCAAACTCTGGCCTTCCAGCTGTGGCGAAACTACAAATCCAATCATGCATCTGTCTCCGGGAGTCATGCCTGTGGCTGTGAATATCTTGCAATGTTCCCTGGGATATGTAGTTCCACAACAGCTGGAGGGCCAGAGTTTGCCCACCCCTGGAGTAGAGCCATCTAGGTGTGCTAGTGCTGTGCAAAAGGTATCCACTTGCCTAGAACTTTTATAAATGAAGCCCTTTGCATTGTGTTTAGGCCACCCATTTGTTCACACTGAGCTGGCAGTGCGCCTTAATGCATGGAGAAATGCGCTATTTTTTAATGCAGCACACAAATGGTTCACAGCTAAGCATCAAGGTGAGCTACATAGCAAGTGCTGGGGTGCTAATTACAATCCACTATGCTGTGTGAAATGTGTAATAATAATAATAATAATAATAATATTATTATTATAGATAATTTATACAGTGCAATAAAAGGAGACAATACAAAACAAGAGTGTAAAGCAGGGGTAGCAACTCCGGCCCTCCAGCTGTGGTGAAACTACAAATGCCATAATGCTTATGCCACTGGGAGTCACGACTGTGGCTGTTAGAGCCTTGCAATGTTTCATGGGACTTGTAGTTCCACAACAGGTGGAGGGCCGGAGTTTTCCAACTCAAGGTGTGAATGGGCCCTCAGACCTGTTGTAAACCCAAGCTGCTGTTCTCACTGAGGACGATGGTGGAGGGGGTCATTGTTTTTATTAGTTTTGCACCAAACGTAATGAAGTCAATGATGCCGTGGTCAGCTAATTAGGGGAAACATGGCTCCAGTGATGAGAAAGGAAGGAGTGAAGTAAAGCTTCATTTATCCAGTCATGTGATCAGCAATGTCCTGTTCACTTTGAATACCCAGTCTTGTGCAGATGCCTTTCACATAACTGGATAATATAAGAGAATATTCACACACGTTGTTTAGGGTGAATTTTCATCTTACTAAGTACATCAGGTGGAAGCTGAATGCATTGTCTAACGATCCAAGCAAGTGTCTGTGTACGTGCGCCATCTAGTGGTGTGTTTGGAATGTCAGACCGGTGCACGAGCGCCATCTAGTGGTGTGTTTGGGATATTACAGGCCAAGTGTGACACGGTGGGGGGAGGAATCACGGGAATTGTCTTGTGATCATGTGTGTGATCTCAGATCGTCTTTTCTTCCTTTGCGGTGTTCGGGCAGCTCGGTCCGGGTAGATAGTTATAAAGTGGAGTGGATCTTGTAAAGGCAGTTCCGTTCCTCTGTTGTCAGGTTCGTGTAATGTAAATGGACAGACAGGGGGGAGGAATGGGATGTAAGATCCCATCCAAAGTTCTGATAAAGTTTCTATGCAGCTCAGTGAACACTGCACACAGGTCTACATGACTTGCTGACACCCTGGATGATGGTTGGTATACATTCTAGACAGGATCATATCATTTTTGGGGTATGGTTGCTTTGAATAGACTTGGGGTGCGTTATTTTATCACATTAGACATGTGTTGATGTGCCTCTTGATCTTGGCGTTTACAATTTGGAGTGGATAGGGTTAACAGCGTCTACGGTCTAATACCTGTTGCCAACACATCAAAATGTGTCATGTGTTTGGATGCGCTGCCATTGGCTTCTATGGGCTTCCCAACACTAAATTCAGAAAAAAAAAAAGAATGTTATATTTTTCAGAGCGGACCGCACTGTGATGCTGAGATTGGACAGACACTATTTTTATTATGGAGAAGTTGGACGCATGCTTATTAGTGTGTTGCAATGCATGCATTTAAATGGAAAGGTGTGACTGAGCTCTTAATCCATTGTTCTAATTAGCATTCAACATTTCTATATTATTTCAAACATGATTGTAGTAACATTTCTCTGATTTTGTATAGATTGACTTATTTTAAAGAGCAGCATTATTTGTTAGGCTTAATGGAAATAATCTCATCGCTTTCATGTTGTTGAAATAAGAAGAAATACTTTTTAATGAGCCTCATGTAAGCCCATGAACTTATTACTAGACATTTTGTGTTTCCTGCTTATAGACACAGTAGTGAAGTCTTCATTCACCCCTGTATGTTTAGGTGCCATTAGGGATTCCTGCATCAGGAACTTGTTTTTTCCTGCAGCAGGAATCCCTAATCCGCCGTTTACATGCGGCAGCTGTCACCCGTTCAAGTAATAATCTGGTGACAGCGGGCGCATTTGAAAGCGGCACAATGCCGTCACATTACATGTGGTTAGGAATGAATCACTATCCCTGGACACATCGATCGTGCATCCAGGAAGAGTGATTGTCTCCTAACGGCATGTGTAATAGGATCACATACAATTACATGCAGTGTGCCGGCGTTCTGCTGCTTTCAAATGCGCCCGCTGTCACCCGATTATCACTTGAACGGGTGACAGCTGCCACTTGCAAAAGGCAGTTTAGGGATTCCTGCTGCAAGTTCCTGATGCAGGAATCCATAAACATTTTGATAAATGTCCCTCTTTATGTTTAACTGTTCTTGTCTCTGCAGTTAAAGAGGAGGATATGCGACTGTACGATGAATGCTGCACATTGGTGACAGTGACGTATTTGTGGCTGTGATGGGATCAAGGCACACAACTGTCCAGTAACTTCATGGCATCTCCCGTTGTAGAACCACAGCCAGCATTATGGTGAGTCTGCGTATTGCAGAGCATTTCTTTCACTAGTGGGAGAGTTACTGTGTCAAAAGTTGTTGGCCCGGTTTACTTTAAAATGTTTATACAGCAACAATACTAGAATGTCAATTGTTAGGACACGAAAACAGGAAAAGATGGCAACATGTCACAACATAAGAGTAAACCCCAGAAGAAAAGTGTGGTGAGGGAGGAAGAGCTAGAGAATCATAAGTGAAGCAGTAGAGGAGATGAGAGAAGCCAGTTCTTCATTGAATATTCCTCTGGGTCTCACTAATGACTGCCCTTACAATGGATCTTTGTAATTATGGCTTGTTCTCCAAACCACTTATAAAATAAAAAGAGATAATAGTACAACAAAGAATATAATAAAATGGAAAAACATCTTAGAAACTCAATTTTTAAATGAAAATGGATTGCAAAGCTGAACCCTGGGCACAAAAACCCTAATTTACATCTATATTATATAATATATTCCTTACTAGCCACAAAGGATATTAATCCACTGTGTGTGCGCCAAATGCTTTGCATACTCAGGTATAACCTTGTAAATGTAGCAGTGACATCATCACAGTGTTGTACACTGTGCGCCCATTACATGCTGCCTGCAGAAAACTACAGGAGGGGGCGGAGACGAGACCAGTCGCCCTGCACCAGGATAGAGGGCAGCAGTGTCTGGTCTGTAGTACAGGAGCTGTTCAATGCTGGATTACAGCACAGATCTGCAAGACGTACACAAAGGGCACAAAGTGAGAATACAAATGGCTTTTGTATTTAGATAATAATAGTTTAGCCAGGATATCAGCTTCAAGATAACTTATACTAAGAGAAATAAAGGTGCTTCCCTCACTGTCCCCATTCTAACAATACGAATTGCCTGACTATCTCTAGTTGCAATACTTTCTGAGACACTGCCATCCAATAAACATGAAAAAAGGAAATTGTGAAGTCAAAGAACTAGGGAAGCACAAATACTGGTTTTGGGTATCGAGTACCGATATTTTTTTTTCCTCTGGTACTCGCCGATACCGAATACTGGAAGTCCCATCAAGGAAGCTAGGCGGCGTGTAATGACTCGCCCACCATGCTTCCTGATCACCAGGTGGCGAGGAAGCATGGAACCGGCTTTCTGGCCAATCAGTAATGTAATGACGCGTTGTAATTAATCATGTAATGGCGCGTTGCCCGGCTTCCTGATTGGTGGAGAAGCTGGCCAATCAGGAAGCCGGCAATGCGTCATTACATGGTGCCCGGCTTCATGATTGGCCGGGAAGACGGCTCCATGCTCCCTGGTCACCAGGTGATAAGGAAGGATGAAGCCGGCTTTCTGTCCTGTCGGAAAGCCTGGGGGGCGTGTGATGACACGCTGACCGGCTTCCTGATTAGCCGGGAACTGTGTAATGACTCGCTGCCTGGCTTCCTGATACCAGAAGCTGAAGTAAAGGGTTAGGCATCGGAGCATTTGGGCGAGTACTCGGCACCGATACTAGCATCGGTGCATTCCTACAAATAACTGTTCCTAGTAAATGACTAAGAATATACTGAACCCTCTGGATCAGTGTGAAAGCAAGGCAGCTAGTATATCCAGAAGGGGGTGTCAGCAGTTAGAGCCTCCATATTCTCTCACTATAGGAGTCCCTTAATGACTTATTCTGGTGCATTATGCTTTTAAAACCCGTCTAATATACTTTGCTGATCCCCCTCCCTGTTTTTCTTTTGTTATAATTGCAGGTTGAGTTACTTCTTTCTTTACGATGGTTCAAAAGTGAAAGAGGAAGGTGACCCCACAAGGGCTGGAATTAATTACTTTTATCCTCCTCAGGTAATCAACCATATCTACCAAATTCTACACAAACTAAAAAAAGGTGGCATATGAGGCAGCTAGGCAAAAATAATAGAAACACAAGACTGGGGGAAAAAAGCAGCAGCTGTGTGGAAGAAGCGACAGGAAATGATGCACTTCTGACATATATGAAAAGAAAGCCTTGAAGTGTGCACGGGTGGTCTATGTGCACTGGGGTCTGTTTCATCTTCATTGTAGCAGGCCAGTTTGCTGGTAATTCACTTTCTTGTTGGTAATTTGTGTTACTGAGGCTATGAACGCGTAGAGTAGGAATTGTGAGCCCCAACGTTGTAGCCTGCCTGCTGCTTCTCAGAGAGGAGTATGGCAGACCTCTACTAAACAAATATGATCTACACTAAGAGCACTCCTTTGTAATAGGCACTACAGGGTGCATGAACCAGTATCGGTAAAAATGACCTGACTGCAGGGATACAGAAGAGAAAGCTGACTTACTCTTCAGTACCTATTTATTTATTTATTACACATATTTATAAAGCGCTGTAAATTTATGAAACATTTTACATACTGCACATTCTCTTCAGTTCCTGCCCTCAAGGAGCTTACAATATAAGGTCCCTATCACACATGCATAACACATACCAGGGCCGATTTAGACAGAAGCCAGTTCACCTTGTCTTTCGAGTTTGGGAGGGAACTGAAGTACCCTGAGGAAACCCATGCAAGCAAAGGGAGAACATGCAATGCAAATGCAATCGGGGTCCCTGGTTCGAATCCCATACAACAGATTTTGACTCTAAACAGACTTCTAATTAGGAAGTGGTTCTGAGCAACCTACAGATGGTGTCTGGGATTCAAATCAGGGACCCTCAGTGCTGCAAGGCAGTAGTGCTAACCACTGGGCCACTAATGCAGTACTCGGGACATTTATCAAGAAAATGAGCGACGCAATTAGCCACAAATCAGTCTTTGTGTGTTCCAAACCAGAAAAAATAGTGCATGCAGTATTTTTTTCCCCCCACACTGGAATGGACTGCTCTGATGTGAACAGTGCCCAGGAATACATTGGGATGCATTTCAGTTGTGGACAAAAAAACGTTCTGGTCCGGATATGGTGTGAACAAGCCCTAAAGCGTCTTTGTCAGTATAAAAAAAAAAGAAGACATCCCTGCAAGGAAGGCAGTTCATACTTACCCGTCCCTATGGACATGCAGATGAACTGCACTACACTGGAAATCTAAGCTTACTGGGAGATTTTTAGCATCCTGCACTCTTCAGGTGTATCCGTTGCCTGGTACTCTGCTGGTTCCTTCCGACATCCCCTACGCCACTACTGTGTCCTGCAGTGACATAAGGCCGACACTCAGTTATTCAGCAACATAGCGGCATGGGCAGTAGGACAGGAAGTGTTTTCTTTGCAGGTACGGCTTTTGTTAATTTTATATAGCAACAGAGGCACTTTGTGGCAGTTACCTAACACAGAACCATGTGACATAAGGCTGCAGTTCTACACAGAAGTACAAGATAGGCCTTCTGAATCTGGCTGCAGGGATTACATAGAAATATAGGGTTATTTTCACCACAGAAGCAATATTTCCTGAAGAGCGTTACCAGGTCATTGATTTCACCTTGATCCTATGGTTGTTCTTAAATAGTTTTTCCTGACGTGTCGTACATATGTGACTTTCCTAGTCCTCTGGGCCCCCGTTCACACACATGAGACAGCACAGATATGCATTAAAGGAGAATTATGAAATGCACTCGTCCCCATAGTTGGAGCCGATGTGTGACACTGCAGCTGTCGCACATCGGCTCTATAGATCGAGAACTGAGCGATCACATACCACTGATCGCTCAGTTCACAATCTTCTCCCTGCAGAGAGAAGTGACTGTCATTCACCGCTCCGCGCAGGGATTCCCCCCTCCCGTCTCCATTCCTTCTGAAATGACTTGATGGGGGCGGGCGCAGCTGGCTCTAGAGAGGCAGAGCCAGCTGTCAATCAGGTAGTGGGGTGGATCCCAACAATATTGTTGGGCTTTGTCTTAGCTGCAGCGCGGCTCTGCGCTGTCAGCATATAGTGGGTAATAGTCTGCCATATGCTGAGTTTTGGGTCACAGGGGGACATCAGTCAATGTCTTCCTGTGACCCTAAAAAGAACTATGACCAAAAAAGGTTTGGCCATAGCTCTTTTTTAAGGTGTAAAGTGTTTGGGCAGCCCATGATTTTAATAGGCTGCTAAACGCACAACAATTCCACTAGGGCTGCAACAACTAATCGACATAATCGATTATTGAAAAAGTTGTCAACTTTTTCAATCATCGATTAATCGGCTTTTTTTTTTTTGTCATTTCTACTTCCACCGCTTCAAGCTTGCTCCTGTGATGGACTGCAATCTCAATACAAACTAGTAGTCCCATCACTGGAGCCATTTTTAAAAATGTATTTTATGTTTTATCCGATTAACCGATTAATCGAACTTAATAATCGGCTAACTAATCGATTTTGAAAATAATCGTTAGCTGCAGCTCTAAATTCCACCAAAGTGTATGGACCTTTTGTTGCTTGTGTCGCTCCAAAAACGCATGGTACTTTTGTACCATATGCTTTGATGCACTACAATACACATGCTTTGCCAGGTGTGTTTGTGATGCCATTAATATTGAGTGGCACCGCAGAGCATTTACAAAAAAAAGACACGCGTTTTCATGCACGTAACGTTGCCCTGGTGTACGGGGGCTTAGGCTCCCTTCACACACCGCTCTAAACATTTGGCGGCCACAAAATAATACAAGCGTAATTTTTTTTCTTTGGCAGATGCCGCACGTTCGCGGCTATAGTAATAGCCGCAAACAAGCAAAATTCGTGCAGTTGTAAAGATTTTTGCGATTGCGTGCCATACGGTCTTCCGCGTGGGAAACTCAAACGCTATCTGTGAATGGAGCTTTACTCTTCTGTTTTCTTTACTTTTGTATTCATTTTCTATTCATTCTCTATCCTGAAGGTTGCATTTGTGGAATGAGTCATACCAAAAGAAACATATTTGCATTTAGTACCTGTAAGCGCCATTTCCAAGTGACCACTTGTGTACTTTTTGCATTCGGCTGCATCTCTCATTGCAAAGAAGAGAGAATGCAGCTTTTAGCCTGGCGATCATTTGTCCACCAGATGGCGCTCTGCTCTTATGGTGTATTGAAGAGTCATGAGTAGTTCAACTTCCATGTTCTGCTAGAAGCAATGCATGCAAATTTGCTGATAAATGAAGTTCTTTGTGTTCAATGCCTTCTGAGGATATTCCATTGGCCAGTAAAAAGTAACAGGATGTACAATTTTAGATCTGCATAGTCATTGTGGAATTTTTAACATATGTTTTTCTTTCTTTTAAAAAGAGGTCCTCTTCCCGAAAATATATTGGCTGATGTCACCCAACGACATATATTTCATGATAAATGCTTATTTTCAGCGTTACAACTGAATATATATAGATATAGATATATTTATATATCTATATATATATATATCGTATGTATGCATTTGTTTGCTTATTGAGGAAGGGAAACATAGGCAGGAAATGTAAACATTGGGAACTATTTCCTAATAGGAAATCTGCCTGGTAGAAAACAATAAAAACCTGCTAGTGTTTCTTAACCAGGGTATACATGGATTGAATTATGGCCATTTTCCTACTGAATCGGCCTGAATTCAATCCATGGGTGGCACCTTCTGGCTCGGCAGAAGTCAATTCTTCAATTGACTTTTGTTGAAGGAGCCGGGTGGAAAATTGTGGGCTGATCAGTGACTGCAACCAATCAGCTACAGTCTCTGGGTAGTCTGACAGCTGTGGGTGCCGGGTGTCAGAATACAATAGCAGCAGGGAAGAGTCCTCCATTTATTCTGTTTAGTGTGGATGGGGGAATCAAAATCCTTTTCTCATTCAGCCCCACACGGGGGAGGGCAGGGGCTGAATGAGAAATATCCTAATGTTTATGAACAGTTTAACGCTAACCCCTCTTTTTAAAACGTAACTATTTTTTGTACTACTACTTTAAAAATCATGTTTGTTATTGAATAAAAGTTACAATATACAAAATACAAAAGTTGCCTTAAACTTTTTTTTCCTTTTTATTTAGTAGTCTGGGCTTTTTCAGTAGCTTCTCCTGAATTCATTCCCATCATCTCTGCTTTTTTAGACCTGTATTGACCAACAAGAGTTACTGTGTGGCCAGATCGCAGGGGTCGTTCGCTGCATCACTGAAATTTCCAAGTCTCCTCCGAACCTCATCAGACTGCGCAAGCTGAAATTTGCCATTCAGGTTCATGGCGAGTATTTGTGGGTGAGTGTGCTTTGATTGAATAAGAGTTTACAATACAATCCATAAGTGACATTCAAAGACTAAATAACAATCTTTGACTATATTAAAGTGCTGCCTCAATACAGATTTACTAACTGATGTCAGCCAGAGTAGTAATATTGCTTCGTAACATCTCCAAAATACGCCCCTTTCTCATCAATGAAACCTCAATACTACTCATCCACTCACTTGTTATATCTCATCTTGACTACTGCAACTCCCTCCTCATTGGCCTTCCACTACACAGATTTTCCCCTCTTCAGTCTATCATGAATGCAGCTGCCAGACTAATCCACCTAACCAACCGCTCAGTGTCTGCAACCCCCCTCTGCCAATTCCTGCACTGGCTTCCACTCGCCCAAAGGATAACATTTAAAATATTAACAATGACTTGCAAAGCCATCCACAACTCTGTACCCTGCTATATCTCAAACCTTGTCTCAAGTATCACCCTAACCGTCCGCTCTGCTCTTCCAAAGACCTCCTGCTTTCCAGCTCACTCATCAACTCCTCCCATGCTCGCCTCCAGGACTTCTGTAGAGTCTCTCCCATCCTCTGGAACTCTTTACCCCAACTTGTTCGTCTATCTCCCACACTGACTGCCTTTAGGCAATCCCTTGACTCATCTCTTCAGGGAAGCCTATCCCAACTCGACCTAACCGCTCAACCATCACGTTCTCAAACAATTCATCCCCACACAGCTACCTCCTCATCTATCACTTCCCCCTCCCTTTTAGATTGTAAGCCCTCAGGGGCAGGGCCCTCCTTACCATCTTATCTTGTTTTGTATTGTGATTTGTAATGTCTTCCTTATATTGTAAAGCGCTGCGCAAACTGTTGGCGCTATATAAATCCTGTATAATAATAATAGTGGGGAAGGAGTGCCGAACTAGCGGCTTATCTGAAAGCTTACATATTGGTGAGACTTATTTAAGCAGGACATGTAGTTGTCAGGACTAGTTCTCTCCTTGTTATAATGTGGATCTAATTATACTTTAGGTGAGGAGCAGGAAGAAAAGTATAATATATGTCATTTCCCAATCAGAGTGGGCCCCCACAACACTCTTATACAGTACAGTACTAGGTGGCTGCATTGCACTCCACAACTTCACCAGGAGGTGGCAGTAAATGAATTGTGTCATTGCAGTAAATAAAAGTAATTCACCGACACACACTTGAAGGGTTTTTAAAGTATTTATATGTTTATGCAATACCCAATGTCACAAACTGACATATGACTGTCGCTCTGATGAAGGATCCCTGTGCGGACCCGAAACATTAGCACCGTATGACAGTATGTGACATTGGGTATTGAATAAACATATCAATACTTTAAAAACCTTCAAGTGTTTGCTGGTGAATTACTTTTATTTACTATTAGTGTTTTGCACGGCGCCATCCGTGTGGTCACCTGGGCACCACATATACCTTGTGGTTTTGAGACCGTGGCAGTGCGAATGGGATTTGGACTTTGTTGTGTCTTTGCAGGGCTCATTATGATCACACATAGCAGACAGGAGATATTCCATGCCACTGGAAATCCCTTTAGAAAGAATTTTAGTTCCATTTTTAAAGTGTAGCTCGGTCGTACAGCATTTTCACCAGCTCACCGCAATGTTGGTGCTGTACTGCATGTTGGGGTTCACTGCAAGGCAAGTTAAACTGGGAAGTTGTAGAGTGGTTGCTGCTCAGGATTAATGTTACTGCATCGCACCAACATGTATTAGGCCCCTGTCACATGGGCAACGTCTGTTCAGACCACCCAGGGATCTTTGAACAGATCCCCTGCTAATCCGAGCAGTACAGAACTCTTGTGATGTCCGATTATTTCTTTATTTTTTTTCCCTATTAGCCGAGCTAACCAGACCCATGTTAGGTTTATAGGGAGTCAGATGTGCATGGACATGTGTTTGTTTACATCCCATTACCTCCAGCATGTCTTGTTTTAGGTCCGTCAAAACTGAACTCTGTTCCATTTTTTTTTTTTTTCTGATTTAGACTGATTAGTATAGAAGGTAAACGGTTGCAGGTCCGTTTATATCCCACTTCCCATAGCCTTACATTGGGATTTTTATCAGATCTATCTCAAAAGCTGATGGGCGGACCTGATCGGAACACCATGTGAAAAGGGCCTTACTGTAGTGCACTGGTGTAAATGGGCTCTAAGGGTGAAGTGGGTGGGGATGGGATAACCTAACGGGCTCAAGAATAAATTACTGCCTTGGGAGGCAGTCTATAACGGCTAAACATCCAGTATTTTTTAGATTTTATAAGCAGTTTGACAAATGTTGTAGATACTTCACAGTGTACAGCATTCCTGTTATTGTTCAACAGATTTGCTAGGTTTAATCACTGAGCCAGCTCTGCCTCATTGCTTACTTTCTTGTTAAAGGCGCTTGGATGCTCAATGGATATCGCCGATGTCAGCTGCAAGTGTTTTCTTGAGGATCTTGTTGGGCTCTTCCGGTTTTATAATGGACCCTTATGGCATGCTTATCGGGTAGGTATCGTTCTGCAAAGGTGGTTTTAGCAGTGCTTAGTGAACCTGCTTTAGAAGGGTAGGACCTAATCCCTAATAATCCCAATACATAAACTGTCAGTAGATTTTGCTTATGGTCCCTTCTGCATCGCCTAGATACACCCTGCTATTTCTCCATTGTCTGGTAGTGGAGAGCAGTTGAATCCTATCCTACAATGTAGTTCCATGGTGCAGAATGTAACTGTGATTAACAGGCATTTAATGGTGAATGAGTGATGATCAGCCAACTGATCATTCACAGCATAAAATACAGGTCAATCCTAAGTAAATTACTTTTAGTTTGCTAAAACACTGTGGAGGGGAATTTATCAAAACGGGAGCAGACAGAATCTGGAGCAGTTACCCCGGGCAACCAATCAGCTTCTCTCTTCAGTTTGTTCAGTTGAGCTTTGAAAATGAACGAGAGAAGCTGATTGGTTGTCATACATAGCTGCTTCAGATTTTGTCTGCTCCAGTTTTGATAAATCCCCCTCTCTGTATATTTAAACAATTTTTTAAAATAAAATTACTTATATATATATATATATATATATAT